AAAGTTAATTAACGAACGGAGACGTAACAATATTTTGGGCTTTGCTATTGGACAGCTCTAGCATAAAATCTCACAGAGCTCTCTTTCCCCACCGATATTAAATTTCTGTAAAGCATTCACTTTAGTTTTTAGCAAAAAATGATTTAACCTATTTTCTATTTAACAATTTCTAAAACAACTTCGAATGTATCTATACTCAAGATTTGTTCATTATCCTCATGTTTATATGATAACTATTACAACTACTAGTGTACAAAACATTAATATAAAACATTTGATAATAGGGTCTTTATTTAATTTCTTTTTTAACCAAGTTTCTGATAACTATGAATTGTTTTTATGCCTGAATATGGCCTGTTCCTGTGGACTGAAATGTCGCTGTTTAAGAAAACATTTCCAGTGTAAAGCTGTTCCATAAATTGATTTAATCAATCAGATACAGAGAAGGTTTCAAGAAATGTAATTTTCAATTTATCAGTGACTAGTGAACCATTGATAAAAAACATACACACTGTAAATCAAAATATATTAACAAACTGAAGAGTGATGTAAACTGTATGACAAATTATTCTCAGAATGTGGGGTTAGAGTATAAAAATAAACTTCTGACACACCTATGTACATATACCTCGTACATATGTATCCATAAGTAATCCACACCTAGTTTGTATTAAACGAAAGATATATTATATTATCCTCATTTTAAAGAATATATTTCTCGAAACCCCGACAAGCTAAGTTTTTACAGCGATTAAGCTTCACATCTGTTATTACGTAAATACACCGAAACTTTAACCTAATCTAAGGCTTAAAGAGGAGGTTTCTAAGCGATATATTTTTTGACGTCACCACGAAAGCGTAAATCAGGAAACGCACGTAGGATGTAATCGTGAAGTCCACGAATTATGTTACTTATTAGGCTTATGGGGGTTTCTCTTCCATATTATTATTGTTCAAATAAGCGTATTATTCATAAGTAATACTAATGGTTTGATGCAAAAATAAGATTTCGGTATGGAATTTAAAAACGTTGTTTTTAATGCAGCACGTGATGGGAAATACCATCGTTTGAAGGTAGGCCTAATGAGTAATGTTAGTAATAGTAGCTAGCCTATAAACTATAAAAAGTATAATTTAAATTATAATTTCATACTGCTAGTGTTACTCCTAATGTCACAATATAAGTTAGACTACGTCACTTTTTTACAGTTCCAACCACACCAAGTTACAGATAGTAATGCAGGTTTAAAAACTTGTTAATCCTTAAATTGTTATTAACGCAGGTTTACTTTTACGTTTTATTTAAATTTACGTCTTTCCATAATAATAATATGGTGTGGAGTCCTTGAATATGATCTAAGTTGAATTTTTTTTAATGAAAACTTTGCAATAAATAGTACTAATAGTACAGTTTCACTTTCAGCCTTTACAAGAAGTTATACTTACAATACCTTAAGTGTTTATATTATGTTCAGATAAATTTAAGAGTGGTTAAATGTTGATGTGAGGCTGGTAAAAGAAAGAAACTCACTTAAACTTTAAAAAGCACAGAGATTGTTTCATAACTTTTTACGTCTTTTTAATTTCTCATAAATCATATATGGTTAAAGACTTATTGAAAGCTGTTTTTGTTTTTCATAGGCAAATTTTCCACTTGAATAAGGTCCTAGGGTATACATAACCATCCAGGGGCATATGATTGGTATTGTCATGCTTTAGTCCAACTTGTTGTGACCATTCACTTAAATAAACCTTGAGCTGGCTGTCTTTCAGACATTTGTTTCTGGAATTACTTGTCCATGTTAATGATGATAATATGTCAGACCCACTAGTACATAAATATAATCAGGCTTAAGTTTAACTGTAAGTGTTGTTCATGCAAGTATATTTTTTTCATATTAAATTATATGATATAATTTAGTTAAACTTCAATTGTAATCTTTATGAATGCAGAATTCAAGTACCCATGGGACTATTCAAGGGATCTGCATGTGATTTTGTTACATATGCAATTTCCAAATGTAAACAACAACATGGTGGCTGCTATATTGCTGAAATTTTTAGGAATTGAAAAGATAAATTAATTACTTATTATGAAAATTAGTTTTTCAAAGTTTGGTTTACAGTTCTTTCATCAAAAACATCAAATAAATGAAGATTTGGGTGTGACTACATGGGTTTGTTGTTGTAATTTTCTTGTTTCAGACATAGTACATACCAAAATAGTTGTTCATTACTATAAAGTCTATTTATAAATTTACTCTTTTTTTCAATTTAAGTGTTTGCCTCTTTATCATTATATTAAAAAGGTGTCAAGATTTATTACATTACCTTTATATTTGTGGTAGTTTTCCCAAAAATTTGAATTTTTATTATTCTTTAACTTAAAGTCAGAAAAATAAAATCAACACTTGAGTGAATTGTAGAGATAAAGCAGTTACAATACCTATGTATAATTCAAAATTAAGTGTTAGCATAAGCATACCAGGTTGAAAAGCCATTGGTTAATAAGTATCTTATACAAGCTTGAAATAACATGTTAGAAAAATTAAACATAACTGTTAATGAAAGAGAAAGCCAAGAAGAATGTATGATAATATCTCAACCACACTATATATGCTATATCCAGTGTAAACTAGACCTTTCATCTAATACCCTGACTCATCAGGCTGGCTAGCATATGACAGACAAAGCAGTGGAATAGGTATTATTTGTATTGCAAATTACGTGAGCAACAACTGTTATGACGTGAGCTAGATTAAGTAAGAGAAATGCAATTATTATCAGTTTCAAGTCATTTACAGATCAGAATTAGGGTAAGATTTATTAACAACATATTTGTTTATATTCTTATTAACTTGAATTAGCTTTATCATCATTTGGAATAACTGATAAACCAGCAATGTTTAGTCATTTTCTCATTATGGTGTTTTCCAGCTGAATCAGATATGTAGTCAGTGCTGACTAGTCTATTCTCTTAACATGTTGGCTGCCACCTTATATTAATCCAAATTCTGGTGTCATATGCAATATGAACCTCTTCGCTTAACTCAGGTTTATAATATCACAGTTGAAAAGTTTTCAAAATATATTTTTGTTATTTTTTTTTTGCCAATTTCAAAGTATTATATAATTTTCTTTTTGAAAATTATTTTTTTTTCTACTATGCTGGTTATGGAATTAAAGGTAATGTTATTTTGCTTTCATTTCCAAATTTTTGTGTTTCATGAAGGGCAGCAAAATCACAGAGTTATTACATAAATGAGAATATTCCTGAAGTGCCAAGAAGCAATCACAATATTATAGAGTCAAATGCCACAAAGAAACTTTATATTTGCAATATTATGGTCTCTGAACTACTGGAGGGTCACAGAACACATTACTAATAGTGCCATGTGACTCTTTGGAGGGTCACATGACAGCCAACGAGTTAATAGTTGTAAGTTTATGGCAAGCAGTTACAATATTATAACATTGAAGATGAGCATATGAAATTTGATCCAATGGCATCAGCAGAAAGCTTGATAAATTTGTTACAAGTATTTGTCACTTTAAGAAACTGCATTTTAATGAAGTACAGATTAATAGGTCCAACACAACAGAAGCTTTTTACACTATAAGTGCCACTTTCAGTTATGTCATGTTCAACTACTGTGTAACTGACATAATGTTTCCTCTACTAATCGATAAATCACAACATAACCTGGAGGTTACTATGCTGCCTGCCTTGTAAGATATTTGCAATGTTTTCTGTTTATTTTTATGCAGGTTTCCCTGAGATTCAGTCAAGAGTGCAGCCTGTTTTATGCTTTCTCTTCCCTCATTACATACAGGTTTTCCCAAATATTCCCATAGTTTTAAGTAGTAACACAAATCTGATAGGACTTCAAGTTTATTTTCCTTTTCAGGTGTTTCTGGACAACAGACCAAAAGAAGAAATTCAGATGTTGGTGTCAGCTCCAACTAATGGTGCAACACCTTTGGTGGTAGCTTCTCGTAATGGTCACGTAGAAGTAGTAGAGTATCTTATTGCAAAATGTGGTGCAGATATAGAACAAGTATGTAAACTATAAATAGCTAAAAAAAAAAAGACAATTTAGTTGACAAGTGTTTTTTAATTTTTTTTGTTTTTGTTATTGATTTAATTATATCCTCTCATATTACCTTTCAACATAAATTATGGACTCTTCCTACCTCTCTTGTTTGGTGTTGGGATGAATTTTCAGGCTTCATGTTAAGTGACAAAAGGCACATTAGAGTAATTAGTTTTACTAGCAGAAATGCTATCCTATGGGTGGCTGTTTGTGCTAGTAAATACTAGCACAAATATGGTTGTATTCATACCTCATTGAAAAAAATTTAGAAAAAAATGAACATTTTCTAAAAAAGAATTTTTCTGGAAAGCATGGAAAAGGTGTTTGGATTGTGCTGATATAAACTGTAATATTTTTACATATTAAAAATGGTACCATTTATAGAAAAAATAATAGTTTTAAAGAATGCCAATGTGGGCATCTGCAGATATTGTTCCAGGGAGGGGCAAAGTTTTCCTTGGAGGTGGGTGGGCAAAGTAGTGTGAAATTGTGAATCGAAAAAAAAATTCATAAACAAATGCTGAATAAGTAAAGAAAGAGTTATGTTTCTCATTTTCCAGTGGCCTCCATTTGCCCCACCCCAGCTGATGCCCATGAACCCCAGTTTCTCAGTACTACATTAAAAAATTACATCAATAAAGACATAATAAAACCCTCACATACAGTCCTAGTGAAAATCGTGTTCTTGTTGTGAGGAAAGTACTTTTATTGAAAACATTTTATATAAAGTTAACAGTTACTGATAGAGGGAGTTATTGAGTAATATATGAAAAATTCTAGGACCTTGTGACAGAGAACATATAAATACTTTTAGTTGTAAAGGATAAAATATTTCAGAGAAGATGGGTTTTATTTTGAAGTTGGTTAAATTTTAATCAGATTAGTGTGGATTAAACATTTCTTATGTTTTATTACTGTGGGTATGACTAAGTCTAAAGTTGTGACGTTAGACCTAGTAATATTTCAAAATCATTTTAGCTGAATAAGAATTTATGTAAAGTAAGAGTTAGAATCATAGTTCTAACTACTATTCAGTAGCTGCTAAGTCTAAAAGATTATTCAAGTATAACTAGACATTGTTATATCTGCTGTGTTTAACAAGTAATTGATAGTGCCGATAATGGTTAATAGGAGATTATAGTGTTTGATTTATCTAAAATTTTTATCCATAAGCTGTGAAATAACTTAATAGTAGTTAAGCTTACAAATACTTGGTGTCTAGAGACATAAATTGATAATACTATTAGTAGGTAGTCTAGGAATAAATGGAGTGAAAATGACAGAATATGATAAGTACCAAGATTTGTTTATGTTTTAGAATTCTTAGCTTGATTTTTAGAAGGCTAGGAAAAATACAATTCTGTATATTTACAGAGCTTGATTTATTTTGAGGATAAAAAGAATATGAGTTAGGACTATAGAGACAGGTTCAGTTAAAAACGTAAGAGTGGTGTATGTTATTGGCTGTATTTATTACTGGGTTGATTTGTAATTTTGCTCTTAACTTCTGATCAAAGCAAATTATGTACTTATTAGTTCAGATCTTCTATAGATCTGAACTTTTGGCTATTTGCAACGAGGAAGGTGATGATCAAAAGGTTTACACATTGGGGGAGAGTCTATCAATAAGTAGTCTGATAAAAGTTGTTTTGTGGGGAGCATGAAAGACTAGGACTAAAATTTGCTAACCAAATGTTGAAGTAGAAGATATTATAAAGCACGTTGATAATTTAGATGCTGGTATCAAGGAGGAGGACTGCCAAGAGGATTGGGGGAGGGTTGATAGTTGGGGCAGTTATTCCAGGACCCACAAACACCCAAAGGGTCTGCCAGAAATTAACCATAAGGGCTCGTTAGCATAATACTGGTAGAAAGGGGGCATATAAAAGATCAAGGCTTGGGCCTGCATTTTTAGTCTACTGTGGTGCCCAAATCACTCTGTGGTAGCCCTCTGAAAGAACATTCTCTCTTTTTGTAGTGTAAATAGAAGTGAATAATACTTCAAATTGTAAACCAGAAAAGCTGCTTAAAAAGGTACAAGGAACTCCAGAAGATTAAGGATAGAAATCTTGTGGGAATACTCACTCAGACTAAATATAAGAATGAATGAATTAAAAGGTACCAAGGCTTAAATAAAAATTAAGGATATACTTAATTTCAGATGGGTTGGTTGGACTTTTGGGATAATTTTCAGTGTAAGAATGAATTGTATGCTAGAGCTGGGCTCAACTTAGTCAGTTCAGGTAATAAGATGTTTGAAGAAACTAAGAAATTCATTAAAGATAATTAAAACCTGTATAGTGTATGAGGGCTAGGAAAATTGGGAGTAAATAAATTAGTAGGATAACTAGTGCAATGGATAAATTGGAAAAATAGAGATTAACAATTGAAATAATAGTTTTAAAGATAAGTTTGTCATATCTGAAGATAAGCTTTAGTTGTTGCTATTCTAATGTTAGAGGTGTCAGAAAAAGATGGATGAGTTGATGGATGAAGTTGAAATGGAAGACTGTAATATAACGGAAATCACTAAAACACTGATCGGGATTGTGTGAAGTCAAGAAGTGAGATTTCTTGAGGTGATTTAAGAATAATTAAGATTGTGTTCTATATCAAATGATCAGTGAGCCAACCAGAGAGGATGCAATTTTAGATTTATTGTACACCACAAATGAGAATGTGGTTGCAAAAAACTGATGTGTGTTAAACATTTGGGAAAGAGTGATCATTGATCAGGTTTGATATTTTGCTACAAGTTGAAATAAAAAATGATTGATATTTTAGTTCCTAATTTTCAAAATGCCGAGTTTTCAGCCTTGAGTCAAGGTTTATCATTAGTGAATTTTGTGGAAGATTTTAAAAAATTAATTGCTTTTAATTCAAAATATGTATGTTCCTAAAACGAGGAAAAGAATAAAAGGGAAAATGAAACCTAATTGATTTACCAAAGACATAAAGAAATTGAAGAATAAGTGCCATAAGTTTAAGAGGTTTAAATAGGATAAAATATTTTTTGATACAAGGAAGCTATGGGTTTGGCTCTTGCATTTACTTTTTCTTTTTTACAACTTACAGCAAGAATTTTGTCTTAAGTATGTTGACAGTAAGCACAATGTTAAAATGATGATTGGGCCTTTAAAGGATGCTCATAATGAGGTTTTTGCTGGAAACTGAAATGACTGAGCTTTTAAATGTTTTCTTCTCTTCAGTTTGTACAATAGAGGGTACTAGCAATATTCTCAAATCATGAACATTTATGGGAGAAATTGGGATTGATATTAGTTCCTTGGTGGTTAAAATAAAGATTGAAGATTAAAAATAGATAAAGTACCAGGAGTATACAATGTTTTCCCCAGGGATTTCAAGTAAATCAGGTATCAGATATACGAGTTTCTCTGTGTCTGAGGATTTGAAAATTGCTTGTATTAGGAATGACGTGTCGGAGCTTGCATTCAGTAAGGAAGCAAATATCGAGATTAACTTTCTTAATTTTAAAGTCCTATTTCTCACAGGCACGGTATACATGCAGAGTATCATTTCCATATCGTCGAATCAGAACATTAGCAATCGATGTGTTCGAAGGAAAACGAAGTTTGATTATAAACAAGATTACGACACTTATGATATACAACATTGTTTATTGACAAAAAGGGGACATGGATAAACGTTTCGGAATTCTATCAGATTCCATCTTCAGTATTAATCCTATTTTTGAAATGAATAATAAGACTTTCCCTGGAGATTATAGATCAATTAATCTTCTATAGTGAGAAGAATACTAGAGACTGATAATAGAAGCTTTGCAAGCTCATCTCATGAAATTCAATATCATAAAAGAAAATCCAAATGAATTCATTAAAGGGAAATCTTCTCTTACTATTTAAATCTGTTAACCATTTTTGAGGATATTTTGTGCTATCAGGATGGTGGAAAGGGAGTATAATTGTTGTACTTAGATTTTCAAAAAACTTTTGTTAAGGAATCACTTAATATGATATAAGAAAATGACTTAGCTCATGGAAGGAGTTGCTGTCAGCAGTTAGAGGCTGGCACTTTACAAGAGTTTAACAGGAGAATCAAACATTTCCTGACAAATAAAGGGTGGGTTTAAGTTTATAGTTTTTACACAAGAATGGGTGTCAGGAACACCCTTGAAGGACCAAATGATTTCTTGTTGTCCATATGCTAAATTTTATTTTAATGTAAGATTATTCATTTTTTTTTTTACTCAGCTATTTATGTTGATTGAGATTTTTTTATTGTTTGATAATACATTATTTATGAATCAACATACATGTACTAACCTTATCATTGCAAAATATTTGTTTGTATAAAATTTTATTAAGTATAATAATGGTCTTGTAAAATGAAGCACACACTGTTTGTACTTTTTGTTGTAATATTGAAATAAAATGTAATGTGTTCCTATGCTGATAACTTAGTAAAATACTTAATGAGTAAGCAAGTAGAGAGAGTGCAATGAAGTATAATTGCTATTGAAAATTAGAAATCAAGAAGATTTGTGTTATATATAGTTGATAAATTTTATCTAGGTTGGTTCAGTGACATTTGATAATGAAACAATAGAAGGTGCACCAGCACTATGGTGTGCTGCTGCTGCAGGCCACCTAGCCATCGTAAAGTCTCTAATAAGCCATGGAGCTTGTGTCAACAGCACCACAAAAACAAATTCAACTCCTCTTCGTGCAGCATGTTTTGATGGACATTATCAGATTGTGGAATATCTAGTGGAAAAAGGAGCTGATATTGAAATAGCAAATCGGCATGGACACACTTGTCTTATGATTGCATGCTATAAAGGACATCTAAAGATTGCAAAATTTCTGGTTGAACATGAAGCTCAGACTAACAGAAAAAGTGTGAAAGGTTAGTGTTGTCTTGTATATAATGTATAGCTACTAGTAGTATTAGTATGAAACAAATTGGCAGTGCCAAATAAGCTTTTGTGTGCTGTTTTGAAAGTTGGTGTTGTGTTATTTGACAAGGCAGAGGTGCTACTAATAACAGGGTGAAATAATCAAATTGCAATGTTTTACAGATAGCAAAGCGCAATATCATTTTTACATAATATGATGTATTTATTAAAATATGTACAAGTACAGATTTAGTCTCCAACTAAAATAAGGGACAAGAAGATACTTTTGTTATTGACTCGGTGGATTACACCGACCTCATGACCCCAAACTGATCAGTACAATCATTTTTAACATGTTATTGACTTGGTGGATTACACCAACCTCGTGACCCCAAACTGATCAGTACAATAATTTGTAATATGTTATTGACTCGGTAGATTACACCGACCTCATGACCCCAAACTGATCAGTACAATAATTTTTAACATGTTATTGACTTGGTGGATTACACCAACCTCGTGACCCCCAAACTGATCACTACAATAATTTTTAACATGTTATTGACTCTGTGGATTACATTGACCTCGTGACTCCAAACTGATCAGTACAATAATTGTTAACATGTTTTGTGTATCTTTATGAAAGTTTTTCAAGCTTTAGGTAAGCATTACAAGTCTTTTGTCGGAAAAAAAAAATCGGAATTTTTAATTAAGTATTTTTACTAAAAATTTGTCTGTGATTTTATGAAGTGTTAACTGCTCTGTATGCAGTGATTTTCATGTTCAGATTAAGAATACTTTTCTTCATCTGAAAATCTTTATATTTTATTTTCTCTACCTTAACTCTCTGCAGGGTCATACAATTTGACTAACCTCCTAACCACCATAAAACTTTAAAGGTTGAAAAATGCAAAAGAAAGTAAGTAATACTGTTCTATTCTTTTTAATATTGACCACGAGGTTCCAAAGAACCTCTCCTGTCATGAGAGTTTTGGCTTCTAACCTTTTAACATCTATTTACTATGCTTATTTTACTGTTAGAAACCTACCGACCATAAAGCAATGAATCACTGCTCCTGCCATTAGACTGTTTATGTGACACCATCAATAGCAAATGAGGTTATCGTAATCCTGGGTTCCGAGAACTCAGTGGGATAGAATTTATTAGTTTTTTCACAATACAGTGGTTGCAATAAGAATTGTCTAAAGTAATAAGATATATGAGAAAATGTTTGATATGGCTCTTTACAAAGTCCAGTCTGATCCAGTAAACTTGGTAGGTATTTGTATGTTAGTTATTCTCCCAGGGTGGTCAGAATTTAGTATATGTGTAGAACATGTGTACATATTATTACTATTTACTCATAAATGCTTAATTTTTAGTTATTTTTCTTAAAACATAGAACAATAAGTAAAAAAAATATATACAAAAATAATGATTTCTAGTACTTATGATGTTATGAAATTGATTTGTACTTGCAGGTTGTACTTGCTAAACCTTACCTTAAGCCTCATTTACTCTCTCAAGTGGAGGGAGAAGATAAATTAGTTTTTGTAGATTTCAAAGATGCATCTTAGGAAAGCAAAAATGTATCAAATTACTGTTATGTTACACAAAAAACTAATTTATCTGGCTTTCTAACTTAGCTATATGTGGATTAAAAAATCTCATTTCTGTTCAGAGCAATGATTTAGTCAACAGACTTCACCATTTCCAGAGAAATTAGAACTTTCTCCTTCAAGCCAATTATAAACAACTGTCAGATTTATGTAGCTTGAAATGAACTCTTTCTGTTGGTTAGAAACATGCAGTTAAAAGAAGTAGGCATGAATAGACAAGAGGTTTTAAAAGAATATAGTAGTAGGTGGGACTACCCTGGTAGGTTAAAAAATATATCGATATGTCAGTAAATCAAAAAGTGGGAGGTTCTTGTTTTATATTCTAGCTGGAAAATGTCTGAAATTTGAGTTTCTAATTTGTTAACCACTAAAGATGTTATATGGAAGGCATAATGAAATATAAACTGAGCAAGAAGACAAAAAGACATGCAATATAACACACAAAAAAGCATATTTAACATTTTTTGTCATATTTTATTTCAAATTAAGAAATTAAAACATATATAATATTAAAATTTGAATTATATGCTATGTTATGATGCCAATTTTATTGACATACAATGATAATAAAGTTGTTTAATTAAATTTTGAAAATAATGAGAGAGTTAGAGATAAAATATAGAATTTTCAGTGACCTTATCATAAAGTGAAAAACAGAAAATGACAGCTGCTTAATAATGCAGTTTTCCAACCTCTGCTAACAATCTCTATGATTAAATGCCAACAGTCCATAGCAAAGTGCAAGTCATAACTGCTCGTAATTCAGTAAGTGAGTAATAGGTGGGCAGAATACACAAAGTCATATTGTAAAGTGAATAGTGTGTGTCAGTTACAGACTACTCATCAATGTTATTTTGTTGACTACGTTTCATAAACATTAGTAGTTCAGAAAATATCAATATTCAGTAAGTTAACTACAAAGTTAATGGAATGTTAAAGTATGATTTTCGTGTGTATTGTAAATGTGTATGGATTTCATTTTATAGCTTCTATTGGTAAAAATGGCATTTATGTAACTTACCTCATACAGTTAAAAAATATATTTGAAATAGATCACGTATACAGAGGTTGAGACGTTATATTAAAATGATTTTGGAGCTTCACCACATTGTTACAGTTCATGTTGCCACATCCACTAATGCTCTTTCTGATGCTCATATATCCTGAAAATAGCCTTGCATCATAGTTTCCATTGCAAAAGGCTCTGTCGTAAGGCTTTTATTTGAAAAGGACACCATTCTTCCTCATAATCCATGTAGTGTATGAAAACAATGGTTTCCTAATGCCTGTTTCAACAATACAATCTCAAAGAAATCCATATGTGCTTCATTTGGAAACTGGAGCAGTATATCTTCACATGGAATAATATGAATAACCATTTAATTTTCCAGCTGTATGAAGTATGTGATATGTGACAGTTAAATGGATATTTTGTGTAAGCAATGTGTTATTGTGTACACAATATTTGTGTCACTTTTCCAACTGGAAATTCTTCTTGATTATATTATCTGCTGTTGCCTGGGCCACATGGATGGCTTTTGCCATCAATCTTTGTGTTATGAATTTTCATCTGTTACAAGACACCACACTTTGCTTACCATGGCTGAAATGTTGAATGGTTTTACATACACATCACCATTATTAAAGGCCTTACTGTATGTCTTTGGTTTGCTGACCCAAGCTGTGATGATGAGCCTTGAATAGGTGAAGCTGCAGTCCACAGCAGAGAGTAAAGCCAGTGAATGAATGCATTAGGCCTCTACATCAGATTCACTTTCCAGTTTTGCCTTCAGTGAAAAGAAAGGAAATCTATAACATATATAGTTGATAGCTGTTCACTGTGGTTGTCACATTACTTGCTGATTAGTATATTCAAAATTGTTTTAATGTCCATACCCAACCCTCTCTAGCATCATGAGAGTGCTATGTTCAGTAGTAGTAGTTCAGACCAAGTGAAGATACATTAGTATTTTCTAAGACAATTCATGGCAGTGAAAATAGATTACAGTGCCTCATAAATTTAATGCTAATGTTTTCATCTGGCACAGTTCTGAATGTTGATTATACAGTTTTGGACTAGTTTCATTATGATACTTTATATAATAATGAATCAAACATGGGTTGTTAGATTTTGATATCAAACAGAATGAAAATGCTCTGAGTTTACATTTTATTTCATTTGTTATGAAGCTTACTTTACTGTCAATCAGCCATTTCTGTGTCTGTCATATGTAAATTCAGCAAACTGAAAAAAGTTATGTCAGGAGACTAAAGTATTGAGAATTTAAGTGCTCATAAACCCCATACGAGGTTGAAATGAATATCTAGTAATAGACGTACACATTTTGGAAACAGTGAAACTAAAGCAAGTTATATTAGAGAGTGATAACACTGATTGTTTCTAATTTTTAAACTAAATTATACTTTCTATGGTTGTGAAGAAAGGAAGTGAACAAATAAACCTGGAAAACTATTGCAACCTGGAACAGGTAAACATGATTTGTAAAAAAAAAGGGGGATAGTCAATTATAGAAACTATTATAATGTGTTTGATTACCTATTGAAATACAAAGATGTGTAGAACTTTTTTCCTCTGCTAAACCACATGACTTTGGATGTCATGACTCAGTAACAACCTTAGCCACTAGTGTCTAACTCTAGTAAACCACCAGATGGAACCCTTCCTAAACTATACAATAGTGTATGTTGTTTGAACGAATTTCTAATGAACCACTTGTGTTACAAGCTACAAATATCGGAACTTGCATTGCTTACCTTAATAATATTGACAGTTAGTTACAGTGAGCACACTGATTAAAAGTTGTAAAGACAGATCATTATAGATATATATATTCCAGTACACATTTTGTAAATGTGACAAACATAATAAAGACCCATATATGAGGTTGAAATGAATATCTAGTAATAGATGTACACATTTTGTAAATGTGACAAACATAATAAAGACCCATATATGAGGTTGAAATGAATATCTAGTAATAGACGTACACATTTTGTAAATGTGACAAACATAATAAAGACCCAGTCTATTACTAGATATTCATTTCAACCTCGTATGTGGGTCTTTATTATGTTTGTCACATTTACAGTTCATAGAAAAACAATAATTTACACATTTGATGTTATTTATCTTTACCGAATTTTTTGCATTATGAGGGGGAGAGTTTTCAAATAAATTGTATCACTAACTTATTGGAAGAATGCGAATTTATGAATATTTTAAGAAACAGCAGGAATATGAAAACGTTTAATTGTTACATATTCTCTTCTCAAAGTTGAACATACATATTTTACTCTTAAGGCTGTATGAAAATATTTACAGTTATATGTAGCCTATCAAATTTACAAGTTTAATTCAATGTTACTCCTTTTTCTTGATAAAAATATTTACAATAAGTCCTACGGATTTTGGTATATCTTATATTTCATTTACCTTGAAAAAGTTGAAAGACACATGTAGGAGAATATTGACTAATATATTTACATTAACATGGTTTTCTAATGTGAACACTTGAAATATATTTTGAAGGACATTATTTATGGTAAAGGAAAATGAATAATTTTACTGCATTGTCTATATGATATTTCCTAACTTATATGAATGTAAAATTAAAAACATGTTTTATCATTCATATGTGATAGCCATACAGTTTGTGAGATACACTGTAATTTCTGTATAACTAATTTTTTACTTTTCCATTGGCCTTCATTAACATTATGCCATACAAAATACCAATATATATTCAGGTAAGTATCTTAGACTCGTGTTGTGGAAAGAAAGTGATATACATAAAGTTGTTTTGTTGTCCTACAGCACTCTGTGCTAAAACAACTTAGTAATATCATTGTCAATAACTGTTGTTCAGTTCAGACCAGTAGGTAGTACCTTTGCCTTTCATCTAGAGCATCCAAAATCAAATTCCAGTTCTTTCTCATCAAAATTAACTGCTTCCCAGAACTCAACAAAAGAATAGCAGCTTCAACTTAAGGCTTTGGTAAACAAGTTATTGGTTGCCAAGTAATTTATGAAGTTGAAAGGTTATTGTATGGGCTATTAACCATAAAAACAATTGAATTTAAAGCACCTCAACCATTTGTATGTTGACAGTAGGTCCTGTTCAGTCATTTAAACACTTAACTATTTTTTGAGTAGGTAAACTTTATGTGTGTAAGATGTCATCTCCTATAATTCGGTCCTTGTATTGAAGGTGATGAACAATAAATTATCTAACCAAATAAACTAAGGAATTTACTTGCTAACTATTGTCAGTAAGGCAGTTTTAACAAGTCTTAACTATTTGACTGTTACACTTCTCTTTTTCAATGCTAACAAAGTCAGAATTGTGGGTTTTTACTTTTTTTTGTTTGTAGTATTTCAAAACGTCTATATTCCTGGATTTATTTTCCTATTCAACATAGTGTTGAAGAACAAGTGCTCTTGTGAACTAAGCTAAAGGGTAAACTCTTTAGCTACTAATAGTTAGGCAGAGTTTAGCTAATCAAATTGAAATGGAAGGTTGTGACACGAAGGATATATAATGAGTGTGAAAAAGGTTCTAACACAAATAGTATGTACAGCGGATTCAACTATAATGCACTTAAGTTCCACAGTCTTTTTTTTAATAGAGTAGATGTTGTAATGTTAGTACATCTGTAAGTATTTATTTTTAGATAATTAATGTTTTCTTCATTTTCTTTTTTTAACCCCCATTGGATAAAATATTGCTTAAAACGTTTAATATGTTAAAACTTGTTCTAAAATTTACACTGGGGAAATGTAGATTACGTTTGTTATTTTTAATCAAAGCTTTTTTTTTCCCTTCTCTGTAGGAAATACAGCTCTTCATGATTGTGCAGAATCAGGCAGTCTGGAAATTTTAAAGTTACTTCTCCAGCATGGTGCCAAAATGGATGTTGATTCATATGGAATGACACCACTTCTGGCAGCTGCTGTAACAGGTCATACTGCTGTGGCTGAGTACTTGATTTCACTTTCTAGTTGCAACAGAAAAGAAAAAATTGATGCTCTTGAGTTGCTTGGAGCCACATATGTTGATAAAAAGAGAGATATGAAAGGGGCTTTAGACTTATGGAAAAGAGCCATGGAGGAAAGATATAGGCTCCCATTCATGAATAAACTCGTACGCCCCCATTCAGTTCCAGCATATAATAATGCTGTAGAGGTAGATAGTGCCGAAAAGCTAGATAAGTTAATTTGTGATCCAGATGAAATGCGGATGCAAGCCCTTCTTGTGAGAGAGCGAATTCTCGGTCCCGCTCATCCCGACACTTCCTACTACATTAGATACAGAGGTGCAGTTTATGCAGACACAGATAACTTTGAACGCTGTATTGGTCTGTGGATGTATGCTCTTGACATGCAGCAAAAAATTCTTGAACCTCTAAATCCTATGACTCACAGCAGTTTGGTGTCATTTGCAGAGCTGTTCTCCTTCATGATGTCTGATACATGGGCAAACAGAAGAAGATGTGGGCCATCTGTTGCCTTCTATGATATACAGTGTGTTTTTCACAAGGCTTTAAAGGAAATTGAAGCTGCACTGAACCATATGAAGAAAATGCAGCCTGCAGAAAGGGAGTCAAACAATTTTCATCGAACTTTGGTAATAGTCATGCATCTGATTGGTCTGTTATGTCGCTTACAGCCTCATCTGAGTCTTGAAGAAGAAAATAATTTGAAACGATCGGTCTATAAACTTGTGAAATTGGGTCCTCGAGGATGTAATGGTCTAACTCCATTACATCTTGCCTGCCTCAGGGAGTCGTCAAGTTTAGGAAGGTATCCTGTATGTACCTTTCCATCTCCAGAGGTTGTGGAACTATTATTAGAAGTTGGAGCATCACCTAACATTGTAGACAATGATGGTAACACTCCTTTACATATAACTGCTCTCAACAAACCTAGTGCTCACAGAATTTTCAAAACACTTCTCAACTATGGAGGCCACTTGGATGCATGTAATGCCAAAGGGAAAACTGCTCTAGACCTGACTCATAGCATTGCTCTACTTGATGTATACCCAGTGCGTCATTTAACCTTGAAGTGTCTAGCTGCAAGTGTCATAAAGAAATATGACCTGCCTTTTAAAGATCTTATCCCTCTTAACCTGGTTGATTTTGTATTAACTCACTAATCATCACTGGAACTCTATTTTAGATAGCTATGAAACTATGGTATGAAAATAATGCAGTTATTGTGCCTGTTGCGAATGAAGTCTTAACCATAACTGTGCATTAGATACTTCTTCTATCATTCATAGATGTTTTCTTTAACTCGTTGAAAGTTGCATACGACAAGTGTGTGTAACTTTTTCAAAATTATTAAAATTTATTATTATTTTTTAATAATTAATACCTTACACATTAGTTTTGTCCTAATAAGTTTTTGTAGCTTAATTTTCTAGTCTACTTGTGTAGTAAATATAACATAAAAAATTTGTAATCTCTGCAAATACTTGTACAAAGGATCTTTTATTTTGCCAATCTATTTAGTAATAATTGCTTATTTATGAAGAATTCTTTGTAAAATGCCTTAAGAAAATAATTGAAAAATATTACTGCATACACTGTGTATTCATTTGAATTTGTTTTATTCTATTATCCACTGTACTTTAATACAAAGTACTTTAAAGAACATTATGGTCTAAGCATTGTTATTATTGTTTTTGTGCTTCCTACAGCACTACAGTATATGAACATAGTGTTTTGCATGGAGCTTATTTCAGCAAATTAATTTTATTGAGATTCACTTGTGAGGTGTTTAAGGCTTAACAAGGATTTCTTGAAAAGCCATGGGTTTGATTTTGTAGGAATACAAAGGTTGAAAAGGGGCTTATTTTCTGATGCCTTGATACGATATTAATCAAGAATAAAATTTTTTGTAATGTATTTAAGTTTACTTTTCTGCCAAAATATATTAATGGTTAGTTGATTTTCATATTGTTGGCAAATATCCTTTTATTTATGATGGTGATTTGGGTTAACTTTTTTTTTGTGAAAGCAAGATAACAGTAGCCTTTCTCTTTGAAAGAGTTTTCTTAATTTTCACACCAATCTTTTAAGTTCAGTTCTAATATACATATATTTTATTATTTGTCTCGTAGTAGGTTTTGAATACCTGAATAGATATTTAGAAAGAACATTTGTGGAGTTTTCTCATTGATGATAAATGTAAAAATAGATGATTAAGCATATACTGACCGTAACATATCCCTTCAAGACGTATTTTTGCAGTACAGGTTCCATAAATCATCATTCTGCTTGAGACAAGAACATTTGGCAGCTTTGTTTCAAAACTGTCTCTAAACAAACAGCTTTATTAATGAAGGCCCCCAGTCGTATGCACTTACCGCTGTTACGGAGTAAAAGACCATATTAAAATGTTGTGTTTTATTTTCTCACACAGCTGTTGTATAACCTGATGGGCAACTTCTTACAGATTGAAGTTTGGAAAGCTTTAAAAGGGTTAGGGGAATGAAATAAGTTTTATGTTTTGAAAACTGCCATTTATATTTGCCTAAATATGTAGTTGTATCATTGCCCAAATTAATACTATTAGATAACATACTAACTGAAAAATAGAATATTAATGCTTGAAAGGACAGCCCAAAATAACTGTATAAAATAAAAGTAATCTTCCCATGATGGTTTGTTTAAATTAGGTATGGAGATTAGTGTAAATTCCTAGTTTGTGTGACTTGATTTTCTAATTAATTGCTATGTAACAAGTTAATAAATACTGCTAGAAACACATTTACCAGTACGTTATTTTTTTTTGCAAAATTATGTTATTTTATAATTACTGATTTTTTAATTAAACAATTTTATCAAAACTAGATTGCGACAATAAAGCAAGCTTCTTTTCCTGTTGTGTAGTTATATAAAAAAACAACAACAAAATCTGAACAACTGATCTGTACATTCTATGCAAATTTCTTGTTTTTGGTTTTGGATTTTTTTTGCATTTGATTTTGTGTATAATGAAATTTTCCAGTTTGATTTTCAGTATGTGAACACATAAAGTTTTTCCTTGTCACCCGGAGGGATAGCAGTAAGTCTATAGATTTACAATGCTTGAATCAGGGGGTTGATTCCCCTTGGTGGACACAGTAGATAGTCTGATGTTGCTCTGCTATAAAATACACACGCACACTCGTTGTCCCTTTCAGTCTTTCGTAACTTTTTGTCCACACCTCTATTATCTACACTATGAATACATTACAGCCATTTTAACTAATATCAAAGTAGAGAGTTCTTTTAAACCTAGTTGAAAAACACATTGTGATCACATGAAACAAGTAATGGAGCATGTAGATTACCAAGGTCTCACACATTATGAAGGTGACTTGGGAACACATGCACAGCAGTAGGTTGTCAGTTTAATATAAGACAAATAAGCTGAGATGTTGTAGGACACAAGTTGACCTTATTAGAGTCATTATAATATATTTTAAGACAGATAAATGTTGCTTGTGTTTTAGGTGTAAAAAGAGTGTTGTAATCTGGCTACGGCAGAGATTGAGAGGGACAGAAAGTGCCAAAGACTGGTCAGAATGCTTTGTATGGTTTATAATATTACCATAACAGCCATTAATAACCCAGCAGCAGATATACCGAGAGAGAATTACAGCTGCTTGAAAGATCTGTAATTTTCTCCTGCCAGTGTTAAAATTGAGATTTTGAAGGAAGGGGACTCCCTTTTCTAGTCCTCTTTGTGGTAGCAAGAGATTTAGAACATAAGTAAATACACACACATCTTTGTACAAAACTCGGAAGTATTAGGCACTCCTTAAATTTTGGCATTGTATCAACATGTTTATATTTCTAAATGATGACAAACTCCCTTGTGCAGACTTGAAATGTTGCTGTAACAGTTCTGCCCTTGGTTACTGTCGGGGATTGAGGGCCACTAATGGAAGCAGAATACCATTCCAATTCAATTTAACTCCTCTTTTGGACAATTAGTAAGTAACACATCTAAGCTGGGCCTCATACAAAATATCCAATAAATTGCCATTCATTATAACTCTGACCATAGATGTTAATGCTTAAATGTGTGGCATCCATGCTGATACGTGTGTCCATCAAAATCGTCTGATGTACATATGAATTAAACAGAGGTGGAATGAATTGTCATTGGGTCATGGGCAGATTTGTACAATCTAACAGTACATTAATAGGTGAAAAACATTCTGTTGTGACCTGTTGTTTTGACATAAATGTGGGTGCATTTTGACCTTGATTCTATCTAATGGATGATAATTCTCGATCTAAAGTACTGCCAGTCTTCAGCCAATGGTTGGTCAGTACTAGTTAACACATTGAAATATTAATTGCAACAATAATTGCCATGTAACATGCCACATGAGAGGGTGGCACTTTACTAATTTGTCTTATATGGTCTTTAAAATCTAAAATCCGGTTAAAATGACTATACAATGTTTATGAAGGGTGGCATACACTGAAATCATTAGTAATGCTCGTATAGTTGAGTTTCGTGTGTTTGTTTTTTCATGAGTGTACACCCTTGTCAAGTCGCGTGGAAAATTGGGTTATTTTGTATCAACATTTATGAATGTTTATGAAAAGAAAGAAGGTTCATCTTTTTATACATAAAATATGTGAACTAATTTAGAACTGTGAGCAAATTTGTGTTTGTGCTTTTATTGAACCAACCACAAAACGATATATACAAGATTTAATCAATCGACATTATGTGGTGGTGATGTAGACCACTATAGTGGATTTACAAACTGTTTAACAGAGTATATTCATGTACGAAAAGTACATTAAAAGTAAATCTGATATGCAAGCTCGGTTCATGCATACATTAATAGTTTTCGTCAAGTAATTATCCGTGAAGTATTTAAGAAAGTGTAACGGTGAAAGATTACAAAACACTAAATATATTACACATCGATTATGGGTATATAAATTTTAATTTGATAGTTTCAACATGTTCAGTAGTATATTATTTTGATTTTATGCAGGATAAGAAACAACAGGTTCAAAGAGTTCTCAGAGTTCCACATTTTGTATTGCATGAGTTTTACGTAAAGATTTTAATGACGTTAAATGAAAATATCCGATACTTGTATAACAAATTATAATTATTTCGAAAACACTATATTTTTTAACATTTGTATAGAAGTAGTTGAGCTTAATGTGATGGTTACGTCTGTTTTATCTCAAAGAATTATTAAACACAGGATAAGTTTAGGGGTTTTAAGATTATGCTTGTAACATCTCGTCTGAAAGACCTACGATGTGTGTAGACTCCAAGAAGTTTGTTTCTTGTAAACAGACAGCAAACATATTTAAAAAATACTTTCTTCTCATGCTATCGTTATGGAAAATAACGCATTTAGCCATTTTATAATAGCAGAACTATCAACTCATGTTTACATTGTCGTCTAAACAGAAAATACATTTTCTGAACGTTTTAATGCATTAAAATACAAGATTGAAGTATACGAGGAAAATTTTAACTGATGCATACAAATCTCAGACTATATTGTTTGAATTATAAATAGTTCATCCTTACAGAAAAGTGTGGGAAAAAGTCCAGCGATACCACTTGGTCTATAATGAAAAGATTACACATCACACAGTTATTGTAGACCTCGAAAGATAAGGTATACTTAAGAAATTTTTACCAGTTCCCGTTACCTTGTCTTGTTTCAGCGAAACAATCATGTCTGGCACCTAAATTAAAAAAGCACTTAAAGTTAAACAAATAATTCAGTATTAGTATACAAAATATCGATGAAAGGAACATTATAACTCAAAAACGCTAAAATCCCCATAAATCCTTCCACATTAGTGCTTTCAGTGAGGGGGCCTGGTGGTTCGGGCACTCGACTCGCAATCTGCGGGTCGCAAGTTCGAACTCCATCACCCAACATGCCCTTTCAGCCTTTCATTTTTCACTGATAAAAGAGTAACGCAAGAGTTGGTGGTGGGTGGTGTTGACTAACTGTCTTCCCTCTAGTTTAGCACTTCTAAATTAGGCACGGCTAGCACATGTAGCCCTCGAGCAGCTTTATATGAAATTCAAGAAAACCTAGTCCCTCGGGAGGTCAGCGGTCCTTTATGGACTTGCAAAAGTCCGGGGTTCTTTATCCCACGGTAGGTAGAACGCAAATAGCTCATTGTTCAATTTTGCGCTAAAAACAACAATATTTTAGTAATTCGCTTTACGAACAAAAGTCGTAGCAACGTTCATCAGGATAGACCCGCCATTTTCCAATGTGGTTGAAGATTGCATATTAAACAAAATACAAATATGATAACCTATGCAAGTGTGTGTGTGTGTATATATAATATAACATACATTGAAAAGATCATTGCAGCTATTGCAGTATGTATTGTGAACCATTCATTACTTATTTAGCCAAAAAACGCCAAGAACTTTACCTGTCCACCATCTTGAATAGATCCATAACCAATAGTAGAACTCGGTTCGACTTTGGGCGTAATGGCCACGTAAAGTTAGTATGGTCGAAACGCCTGGACAATGACCCCAAGCTGACTGAAAAAAGTTATTAGTCATGAGAGCCAAAACACGCCCAAGATTTAGGTGACCAAGTTTTCCAATCATAGAATTGGGACACACTCAGATTATAAACAATCAATTGGTCACATAATAAGTAACATTATTGCATCAAGCGAAAAATATATTTTTAGTTACATTACTAACACTACAGATACTTGTTATTGGTCAGGAGCTTGTAAAATTTTGAATAACTGTCATTACTTTAAATAAATGCATCTAGATTTGGGAATCGAAAATTTTGTGAATAGTACATGTCGTTTGCATTAAATGGAATGGTCTCTTTGTTTTGGCGGGAATAAACTCACTTGCTCGGTGACTTGTGTAATAATTAAATAGTTTCGTCTGTCTGCTGCAGCCTAACTTATAGCGAACTTCAGAGGAAGCGGAAAAGGCTATGCTGAGTGGATACGAGCTGTGAGTTTTAAAAAAAAATGTATCACATACTAAAGGTATCGAATAGAAAAAAAAAATTACAGATTACATAGAAAAAATAAAAATTGTTTTAAAACATAGTATTATCAATAAATTATATAAAATTTCTATAAAGATTCATTAAATATTTTCTTTAAGTATTTTTAAAATTTAATTACTTATCGAATCATATACATTGTTCACCAGAATTTTTATATTCTGAAGGTTAAGCATAATTTATAAGAATTGTTTTTCCAAGTCCTGTGCTACCCAGGCCTGGCGATTTCCGGGTCGCGGGTTCGAATCCCCGTTCCGCCAAATATGCTCGCTCTTTCAGCCGTGGAGGGGTTATAATGTTTCGCTCAATTCCATTATTCTTTGGTAAAAGAGTAGCCCAAGAGTTTGCGGTGGGTGGTAATGACTAGCTGCCTTCTCCCTTGTCTTTCACTGCTAAATTAGGCACGATTAGCGCAGATAGCCCTCGTGTAGCTTTGCACGAAGTTCCAAACAAATCAAACCTGTGCTACCTTTACAACTATTTTTTCTATTGACCATGATCATGCAATATTACCCTACGCGGAAGCTTTCGTTGTAACGAACTTCTCAGCGCTGAAATTGACAGGAGTTATGTTGAAAATAAGAAACATGTATTTCGTGGGTGCAATACACATACCCCCCTCCCCACCTTTCCATTTTTATGTAAAGAATTGAAACTTTAGCTCATTTTAGTGCTAGTTTTAAGAAACTATATACAAGTGAGAGACCAACAGTTGAACTATCAAGTCCT